ATACCTTTACAAGTATTAAACATTTGAAAGAAGAAACAGCAATTATAGTTATAATTTTTATTTTTCTTTAGTAACGTTGGGTTTAGGACGATAAGTTATGACCAAGATTAGAGCAGCACACATTGTTGCTGCACTAACTGTCTGTGTGACTGGACTTCATCATCATCATCATCCCTATGGATGGAATAGGGAAATTGGGACATGACCTACCATGCGGGCCCAGTGCGGATTGGTGGGTGCTAACGACTGCAGATGCAGCCGGGACCAACGGCTTAACGTTTCTTCCGGAGAACGGAGAAGCTTGAGATAGTAAATTATTTTTGGTCACCCATCCAATGACCGACCACTGCGAAAGTTGCTTAACTTCAACGATTGCAGCCGAACACGTTAACCACTTGCGCCATCGAGCTTCTCTGGAATGGACTTCACTTACACTTAATATCAGGTGGGGAGATGACGTAAGATTCTTCCCTTGTATGAAAAAAGAAGCAAAAAAAACCGGCCAAGTGCGTGTCGCGCCACGCGTAGTGTAGGGTTCCGCCAATTACGGATTTTCATTTTTTAGTTATAGCATAATAGTTTAGAAAACTCTCTACCAAACAAGGGCGAGATGTGTGCAATGCGCGCGCGCCATTGTGTATGTGTGTGCGTGTGTATGTGTGTGTGTGTGAGTGTATCTATGTGTGTGTATATATGTATACATGTATAAGTGTTTAATTTTTAAAGTAAAAATGAAACACTTACATATGTAAAACTAAAAGTTGTTTTTTAAAAGATGCTTTACTATTGCAAGTAAATATGTCAACAGCCGTTTGCCCATGTTGTTTGCCCATGGTTTAACCAATGGAGCTCCTACTGCTATAATACCTATTAGATACATAATAATGTTTAGTAAGTCGATCTCCTTGCTCGATGGCTCGTAATTAATGATCTGAACTGTCATTGTTTGTATGCAATGTGTATGCATTTGCCCGGGACAGCGAGCCTTCCTAGCATTGTGGAACATCCCACATGTCCTATTGTGTGTTGGACAAGGCCTTATCTTAGAGGCAAGTCGAAGCCTGCGCGTAACTGAGCTATAACACATGGAGGAGGCTTCGAATCAACGATATGCTGAATATTAATTCATTATTGGAAACAATTAATGTATAAATCGAAAGAAAATATAACTAGAAAAAACACCACGCGGACCAGGCAGCGGACGGGACCGCGTGGATTTTTTTCTAGTTATATTTTCTTTAGATTTAAATATCAAGCACATACATGCTTAAAAAATAAAAATTATAACAACAATTAATGTAATCTAAATTTACATAAACCTTATGTATTTTAAGTGTATTAAGACTTTGATTTTCTTTGAAGTAACTTTCGCATTGGTCGGTCATTGGATGGGTAACTAAATATTTAATATCTTGAGCTCCTTCGTGCTTCGGAAGGCACGTCAAGCCGTTGGTCCCGGCTGCATCTGCAGTCGTTAGCACCCACCAATCCGCACTGGGCCCGCATGGTGGGTCATGGCCCAATTTCCCTATTCCATCCTTAGGGAAGGCCTATGTCCCAGCAGTGGGGACATTAATAGGCTGATGATGATGAAGACTTTGATGTTTACATTGAATTGTCATATCGCGCGTAATCCACTTTTTTATGTTAAAAGGATGGCATACAAGCATTCGGCTGCGATCGTTGAAGTTAAGCAACTTTCGCAGTGGTCGGTCATTGGATGGGTGACCAAAAATCTTCTATCTCGAGTTCTTCTGTAGCCTTGACCCTTGTGGGAAGGCCTTTATACGTGGTATGTCTTAATAACCACCGCAAGGTACTTTATAATCATAGCGATATTAACTCAATTAGGTACTGAAGTGACAGGACTGCGGTATATACCGTCTTATAATGCTAACTAAAAAGTGTGAAATAAAAAAGGTAATTTAAAAAAATCAAAAATCCCTACTTGTTGGTTATTACTTTAATTAAAAACTAAAAACATAAAAACAGTCCAGAAGTCTAATAATTCTGTTAAGTAAGGAAAAAAGCTACTTTAACATCAGTTTCAGGACCCATTATTCAAAAAAAATTATGTATTGTTCAATATCTAATGGTTCCCGATTGATATTAATGTGGCTCTGTTCCTCATTTAACAGAATTATTAGACTACTGTGCTTGTTTTCATATTTTCATTTTTTAATTGAATTAAAAATTAAGCAGTCGGGTTTTTAGATTTTGACTTTTTTGTACTGTCATTTTCGGCATTAAACATGATTTGGTGCGACGTGTCGGCAAGAAACGCGAACTTTGGGATACCATCAGAGTGAGGAAGGTTGCGTATCTGGGGCACGTGATGAGACATGAAAGGTACGCCCTTTTACAATTAATAATGATGGGAAAAGTTGGTGGAAAACGAGGCGTCGGTCGCAGGAAGAAGTCTTGGTTGAGGAACCTACGAGAATGGACTGGAATCTCGAGCGCCGCTGAATTATTCCATCTCGCTAAGGATAAGGACACATATGCTAAGCTGACTGCCAACCTTCGCTGTTCGGAGAGGCACTAGAAGAAGAAGAAGAAACATGATTTATAAATCTTAAGATCTTTTTCGGTTTCAGCCAAAATTCGTACTAGCACCCTCCGCAAACCGGGTGAAGAATTTCTCCTTTGTTCCGACAAACACCATAGCTAAACTAGCGTCCTCCATCAAACCATAACCCGGTCCGGTCAACCATTCACTCCAACCTATTATCCGTCCGTCAATCGCTAAGCTCAACTCGATTCCAATTAGCCTATCACTGTTACCTACTATATCACGCAGCGATGACGCGGTCCCTTTCTTCGGTGACGTCATCGGAGCGTCCAATTTGGCGGACAATAGTTCCGTGTTCCGTGCGCCGACGTTCCGATGCCCATGTTCCGATGTCTAAGGCGCTTTGCAGACGGCGGGGCAGAGCGGGCCGGTCAATTTCGCCGCGAATAATAGCACAAAGTGAATCCTATACTACAAACGCACACAGATGGCAAAAAGACCGAGCCTTGAGTGCCCGGCGGGCAGTGGCGGCGCGGCATGTCCGCGGCTGCCCGCCGTGGATCATACAAACCAGTTTATATGCAGTAACGCAGACGGCGGCGCGGGGCGGCTAGCTTACTCCGCGCCACGCGCTTTTCAGTGATGGACTGTTCACTAGAACGAACGTCCTGAACTAACCGCCTCTGCCCGTCGTGTGCTTTGTGTACGCGGCGAGGGCAGCCGCAGACATCGACGGGCAGACGCGGTTTTTATTGCTTCGCGGACAAAAAGCCCGCCCCGCCCCGTCGTCTGCAAAGCGCCTAATGGAACAAGACCTGGCCGTTCGGATGGACGGCTGTTGTCGTTGACGTGGAGTTGACGGCTTGATCGGTCCTTGTTGTGACTGTCGAGTGTTGAGTGTGTGTGTGTCTAATGTATCTCTTGTTTGTATACTTGTGGAGTAATGTTGTACGTATTGTGTGATAGTGGGGTATCTTACATGATCAATGTCATCGCGATACGAGGCTAGAAGAATCATAAGTTGTAACGGAAATACTGCAATAAGGTATATTACACGATAACGTGATATTATTGATACTTTCACCTTTACCTGACGACCTCCGTGGCCGAGTGCTTTTTACGCCGCGTTTTATGGTGTCGCCGACACGAGAGGTCCTGGGTTCAAATCCCGGTGGGGGCAGATGTTTGTGTGATGAATACGAGCAGTTATACTCCAGTCATGGATGTTCCATATGTATTTTTATATCCCTTAACACAAGCCTTGCAGTGCTTACTTCGGGGCTAGGCGAATTGGTGTGAATGTTGGAAATATTTATTTATTATTTCAGCTTATGATATGACTACTTTGCGTAGATTAAGTACTACTTGCACCAAAATTCTTACTTTAAATTAAGGCTTGATCCTGTTTAACACACCATTATCAGTTATTGAATTTCATATAGAGATAAAATGACGCTTAAATTTAATAAGGTTTTAAATTTGATTTAAGAAAGGTATAAGTAGCCCATCGAGGACCTCCTTGGCCGAGTGGTTTGTACGCCGGGTTTCATGGTGTCGCCGACTCGAGAGGTCCCGGGTTCGAATCCCGGTGGGGGCAGATGTTTGTGTGATGAATATGTATAGTATATGTATTCTATCCGTTACTCTAGTGTCCCATCACACAAGCCTTATAGTGCTTAGCTTGGGGCTAGGCTAATTGGAGTGAGTGTTGGAAATATTTATTTATTTATCGAGTACGTTCCATCTTACAGGAGACTACAGTGAAGCACTACCTTTTGGTAGTGTTGTGTTTCTGACGGTAGGTGCAGGGCTTCCAGGCTTTCCAGGCTTTCCAGGGCTCCACGGGGTAGGGGATTGGGTCAGGGTAGGCAACGGCGTGAGTCATATTTTTTGTATCGCAAGCGTGTATAGGGTATGGTGACCGCTTACCATCACGCGGGCCATAGGTATGCTTGGTTACCACTCTTTCAACATAAAAAATAAGAATAATTGCAGCTTAAGAATGGCTAGAAGAATTTCGACGTGGCTGTCAGGGCCGCGGTAACATAATTGGTCAGTGCATTCGCCCGGATTGCGAACGGAGCGGGTTCGAGTCCTGTCTGCTGCCTGGATCGCGTGGATTTTTTTCTAGTTATATTTTCTTTAGATTTAAACATCAAGCAGTTACATGCTTAAAAAAATTAAATTATAGAGTAAGTTAGAATACAACAGTCCCAGGAGGCTTTTAAAGTTGGCCTTAACTCTGCTTAAATGATATTTATTTGCGCCTAACGGCAAAGTTATTGCTGTACCGCACTCTGTAGGCCTTAAGATTGGTTTAGTTGTTCTAAAGGCAGCTGGTGTAAAATAAATGAGAATTAGCTTTAACTAGCAAACCAGTGAACCAAATGTTCACCAAAACCTGATTTAAAAAAAAAATAGCTTTAATTTTAACTTATTTACGGCTTGGTCACGAGCGATGAGGATAAGGTATTCAAGGTTACCTTCATCATCATCATCATCATCATCAGCCTATTAATGTCCCCACTGCTGGGGCACAGGCCTTCCCTATGGATGGAAAAGAGAGATTGGGCCATGACCCACCACGCGGGCCCAGTGCGGATTGGTGGGTGCTAACGACTGAAAATGCAGCCGAGACCAACGGCTTAACGTGCCTTCCGAAGCACGGAGGAGCTCGAGATAGTAAATTTTTGGTCACCCATCCAATGACCGACCATTTCAAAAGTTGCTTAACTGCAACGATCGCAGCCGAACGCACTAACCACTAGCGCCATTGAGCACCTCAAGGTTACCTAAATATTTATAAGTATTAGAACTCACTAAAATTGCCTCAGCGAAAGAGTTATGTACCAAAATTTCAGAAAATCATTCCGTCTTTCGCCCATTAGGCAGTTACAGTAAACAATTTAGTTATTTTTTTAAGATACTGCTGCTGAAATTGTTTTTGGTATAATAGTATCCTGGTATGTCTCCTTTAATTCAGGAAACCTATTCTATGGTGTGCTGAATTTCACCCAAATCTGTTCAGTCGTTTTGGCGTGTTGGAATAACAAAAATCCAAACTTTACCTATTTTTTTTATGGCGAGGTAGGCAAATGACTCTACCCCACCTGATGTTAAGTGGTGATAAAGTCCAAACGCGAAGATGGCTGGTACAGCAGTTATAAACTGCTACACCAACCATCCTCACCTTGCCGGCCTGCAAAAATGCTTCTTCTATATGATATAAGAAAAATAATTATGGTACGTTGCATTGTTATAGTGCACCTAATTTTTTATGTTCTAAAAGCTCTGCAATTTTAAATGATTTCCTTACAATAAATAATACGGAAAGGGCTATGCTCGGCGTTTCTCTGAAGGATCGCATCAGAAATGAGGTAATCCGACAGAGAACCAGAGTCATCGACATAGCCCACCGGATAAGCAAGTTGAAGTGGCAATGGGCTGGCCATATTTGCCGAAGAACCGATAACCGTTGGGGTAGACGAGTTCTGGAGTGGAGACCGCGTCTAGGCAAACGTAGGACGTCCTCAGGCACGATGGAGTGACGATTTGCGTAAGGTGGCTGGCTGGAGCTGGATGCGAGTAGCCCAAAATCGATCTGAGTGGCGTGCAATTGGAGAGGCCTATGTCCAGCAGTGGACTATGATAGGCTGTTGATGAAATAAAATCTTCAACATTAATAAGGTTGAAAATTGACATTAACTTTGTATTAACAATGTTGAAGATTTTATTGTGCTGAATGAAAACTATGTTAAAGATTAGATTCTGGTTCATCATCATCATCAGCATATTAATGTCCCCTCACCGCTAGGGCACAGGCCTTCCCTGTGGATGGAATAGTGAGATTGGGCCATGACCCACCACGCGGGCCCAGTGCGGATCGGTAGGTGCTAACGACTGCAGATGCAGCCGGTTTGTTTCTTACTGTATCTGATGCAATGTCACTGTATTAAGGATTTTGTAGTAGGTATCCCGAAAGAAAATAAATTTGCAATCAATCAATTTCAATGATAATATGATATATTGAGCGTATAGAATAGTTCATTCCTTAATATTGTACAAGTTATAGCTATAATCTCTTAGATTAAATGATTAAACATCATTCATATATTATCACTAATAATTATTAGTTGTAATCATTATATTTACAAGTTTTAAATTCACTATTGAACACTATGACATTTATCTAATTAATATAATATAATATAATTAAAACAATTCCAATGAAAAATATTTTAAAAGTGTTTTTGTTGTGTTTTTTGACTTTTTATTGAGTATACAGTCAGCCACAAAAGTGTTTAGTTTTCTGTCATATATTTGTGAGATTCGATCTATATTATACATTTATTTAAAAAATCACTAACTAGCATTTTAGTAAATACTATTTAATTATTACGTATACAACAGGTATTTATTTTAAAGCTCACTATTCAGCAGCTAATTTATATATACAAAAATAACAATTCCTAAAGATGATCAATAATGTTATTTGACTTATAATTAAAGAATGAAAAATACTTTACCAGTAAAATTTCAGGAGCACTGTCTCTTAATACTTTCAGAGAGGAAAATATCAGAAATCTATTTCTTTATAAACAATAGTATTGTATCCTATGATTTCTGCTAACTAATACTTTTAAAAGTTTAAAATACTTTAATTTTAAACAAGTACATTAACATTTTTGTATCAATATCTTACTTCAAAATCCGTTTGAAATCAATTCGAATTCTTTTCGCATTTCAGAAAACGTACTTCCAATATTCCCAAACATCGAGTGTGACAAATATTGACACAATATTTACAACGTCACATCGATATCTCTGATTCGATCGTATACTAACTCTTGTAGACTCTTCCAGAATCTAATCTACCTTTGCTGTTAAAGCACCGTCCAGTTCCTGTACCCCTAATCTGAGAAGCCTTCGTTGTTGGTATTATCAGAAGTGGGAGAGGTTCCGGGGGATGGAACTTGCAGTTGTCTTCCGTACATGAGGTCAGTTGGAGGCATAAAAGAGGATAGATACTCCGGTGGTGGTCGGATCACAGTTGGGAGATATCCAGTCCCGCTGTAAGGTGGAGTGAGAAATCTCCTTGAAGGAGAAAACTTGAAGCTTTGGTTTGATAAAGGAGAGAAGGCCGACTTCGACTGGTAGCTCTGTAGGTAAGGCGGAGACTCCTGAGTGATATTGTAAGGTGTACTGGCAGTGTCAGAGCCGTTCAGCATCATGTCCATTGCGGCTACCACGTCTCCTTTGCATCTCGCGAGGATTGCTTCTATTTCTTGCCTGCTGCGTCGCGGGAAAACTTTGATGAGCACGTCTATAGGGGACTTTTGGTAGGAAGACTCTTCTGGCTGCTGTTCAGGCGCTGGCTCAGGTTTCCTGTCGCGTCTAAACATTTTGTATTTGAAATCGGAGCTGTCCCATTTTTCTTCGTCCTCTTTTTTGACTGGTACGTCGTCCTGTCTCTGCTCCTTCATCGACAAGTTTTCCGGCGTGAGAGAGGGTTCCGAGTGATCTTCTAGTTCTTCTTCCACGTTCAGCTCGTGGTCTGAGGGTGATCGCGGGGGCGGGGTTGTGAGTGGCGGGGTGGCGGCGGGAGTCTTCGTCTCCTGCGCTGGTTCAGTTGTTGGTGATGGACTGGAGCAGACCTCTGTGATGCGAGCGCGTTTCTGATCTGTGTACAAAAGAATAAAAGGAATTGGTATACAGATTCAGCTACATGTAAACTTCGGGATAATGGACAGTTGAGATTTGCTGGCATTTGAAAGTTTAATGATTTTGTTAAGTTACAACAATTTTTATTGTGAAAAGACGATGAAAATATTTCTAAATAATAAAGAAATAGATTAAAACATTACAGTAAAACGAAGATGTTATTAAATTGATATCTTGTTGTAGTACTTATTGCAAACACACCTGAAATGTAAGGTGATATCATAGTCTAATACTAAGTCATAACCTGAAATGAAATTTTAAACAAACTCAATTTCCTGACTTATTTCCGATTTAATGATCTTAACTCGTCTGTAAGAAAGAATAAAATTATCCTGATTACTAAGAACTCTATAACAATCTGTTCAAGTCATGATAACGGTACAAAACATGCTATGGAAAACATCAAAACGCCGTGAAAAAGACACAATGCGGTGAGCGCGCTTTCACGAATAGGTAAGTACATTCGCGCGCACAAGTCATTGTGTCGAGCAATTAGAAGGCGACTCGGTTTCAGTCGCGTGTGTGAATTTAATGGGCGATGTTATTGTTTTTTGAAGCTCGTGGGGGGGAGGTAGATTGCAGGGTGCCACGGCTCCAGGATTCGATTACAGTTCGATCGTGTGCAGTTAGACGCGCGCTGTATTATGTTACGTATACCGTTGGCATCGAATAATTTTTGCTAGTTTTTAATTGCAGGATTTAAGCAAGATTTTAAGGTTCTTGTTTTTTATTTATATTTTTTTTAAAATAATAAGTATGTATTGAATATTTGTTTCTTAAGTTTTCACGCACATCTCTCATTAAATAAAACAAGTTTCAACGGGTTAGATGCACTGATTTTATTTATTTATTGACATTTCGCATCGTTTGCAGGAATGTGCCATCGGAATAATGTATTGAATAATTATTTTATAGTTTTAACTTGAATATTCGAAATGATTTTTTGTTAATACAACTACAAATATTAAGTATAAGGTACAAGTAGTCGAATATGGTTAGTAGTACTAGAACTTTGATCAATCAAAACAGATAATATAAAAAGCTTCCCTATGGGTACGGCGCGTCATAAGAAACTAAAGATGATATCTATTATTTAGAATCTAATTTACCCCTTTAAAAAAATAAGTTAAAAAATACGGATTGCAACTAACCAAACAGATTAAAACATAATGTCAACCAATAAAACCAGCTTTTTTATTTAAATCAATTTTTACAAAGCAAAAACCTATCAAACCGATTACTCGCGCAGACATCGTGCTCACAAGTCCAATTCAATGAACACAAACATCAATGTTAAGTGTTCCATAAAAAGCCACAAAAGAGAGAGAGCGAGCAAAGAAAAGAATGTACTCGTAATACCTCCTCGAAACGTTCGTTCCTACAGTGAGCATAAAAGCTACGCCTTCACAAAATGGAACAAAAAACTCATTAAAATAATACGCCGTTTCTATTTTTATACTTATAATACGAACACACTTTTCTTTTATGAAATTACAATGAATGGAAATAATACTGGCCATTTTGAATCTCATCACGATGGTGCGAGCGAGACGGCTTATACCATTTTATGCGAGTTCGAAGGGGATGTATGGTTTTGTAATGGTATTAAATAGAGACATCTGCTTGGAAATGATGCTATGTATTTAGTTTTTGTTTATTTGTTTTTTGTATTCATTATTTATTTATGTATCGTGATATGCAAGTGGGTTTTTGTGTGATGAGTTGTATTGATGTTAGCGTACGCCCGACCCTTATTCGAGTAAAGGTTGTGTGATGAACGACTATTTGTAGTTAAATTCACAATTTTACAATTCACAGTTACAAACTTGAAAAATTATTGATGAAACCCGGACAGATGATTTATCGAGGCACATTTGTCACCAGTCATCGAAACATCAATGTTATTGCTTTTATATCGGCTGACGAAAATCGCGGTATGAATGGTTACTGGTGGAATTAATAACAGTTACTTTTTGAAGCGTGTTAAGCTAATTTTTCTTAGCATAGCTTAGACGACATTACTTAATCTATTGAAGATCAAATTATATAATTTGCTGATGACTGCAGGGTTATATATAATGATCAAAGTTCAATAAATTCGATTTTAAAATCCTTAATTAAATGCTGACAAAATAATAATCTTGTTATAAATGTGGAAAAGATTAAAATTATTCAGTTTGTGTGTAAGTAACGATAAATCATTTAGTACTTAGCATGGAAGTGACTATAATGTCTTTCTCGTGTTGTGATTCAAATAAAAAAAAAAATGTTCCGTGTGCTATATTTCAGAAACCTATTCAAATGCCACCTTTTTAAACCGAGATTTGCCAAAGGTGTTAGAAAACGCACTGATTAAAATTATTTTTAATGTTAATTTAGTTACAGTTTTTTATCGCGGAAGTTTTGAATCCATAGCATAGCAACAGCTCATTGAACTGCGAATAAGAAGTCGCATTTAAAAAAGTACATAAGCAAAAAAACAAAATCGATTCACATTATAGAAAAAAAAAACTACATCTCAAAATATAAACTATCCGGCGTACAATGCGCGGCGTCTGTTTACGGCACTCGGTAGTGTTGAAACACAATGTAATGTGGCGGCATAAATTCTGTGGGCACGTTGGCGACGGCGTTCGCGCATTGTGCACTGATTTACGGCCCCGTGCGGCGGACACGACGCGTGTTAATGTTATTAATTAGTGCGTAACACTTTTGGTTGCGAGTGTAGGTAGGCTTTGTCTCTTTGAATTTTCATTATCTAGAGATTAATTAGCATAGCATAAGCTCATAAATTAGAATCTAATGCAAATATATTACTAGTTATTCTTAAACCCCCTAAAAGCTAAACTATTGTCTTGAAAAACCTGGAAAAATTAATGATAATAGTGCTTTTCATGAACTTTTAAGGAAACTTGTAACGGTTAAAATAGATTTGTTAGTTTAAGACTAATAGTCGTTAAACTAATGTATTAGAAAATTTCTGACCTAATAAAAAATCCTTAGAAAAAATCATTGAATGTGACTGAAGCCGTTGGTCCCGGCTGCATCTGCAGTCGTTATCATCCACCAACCCGCACTGGACCCGCGTGGTGGTGGTTCATGGGTAATTGCTTCAAATATAGACTCATTCCAAAATATATTGCAACTACGGAACCCTACACTGCGTGTGGCACGAAACGCACTTGGCCGGTTTTTATTCAATGTTTTCATTGTTAATGATGTAGACCAGTTTTAATAAATCACATTTTAACACATTTGCTCGTAAAGCGTCTCTTATTGCACCAATTTCAATATCACATTACACACGCGTGCGGTAATGTAAAGTCAAACGCACGGCTTATTATGTTCCGTCTCAAAACGTACGATCCTACTTTTTTAAATCTTAGCAAAGAGTTTTTATGTCAGAAAGGTAGCCAACATTTTCTTAATAAAATCAACTTTGGGAGATAAAATATAATACATAAACACGTAATTCTTTAATTCGATTCATTTTGACAATAAATTACAACCATGTATCGGTAACCAATTCACAAAAATATTAATTTACTTTATTAGTAACACTGGCTGTTTTTTGTTCCTTTGCCTAAAAAAAGTGTTGATGCGCACGCATCGCTAATGTGTGAAAGTTATTTATTTTTCTTTTCGCTATATTGTTTTTATTTAAAAATATTGTTAAGTAGTTACGAATTTATTAATTTAACACCGCCAGAAGTCGAAAAAGGCTACGCTACGCCTCTTGCCCGAAAAATCCACGGATAGATACTTACAGTCAAGCGTATCAAAATTTCATCTTATGGAAAACAAATAATGGTGCAAATTCATTTTCAGAAAGTACGTACGTAGGTAGTATTATTTCCTCGCAAATGTGTTATAAAACGTCGTATGACATACGTGCGGTTTGATAATTACAGCCTCTGATTTCTTATACCGTGCCTACGGCTCGGGCTAACGATATCGCCTCGGCTGTAATTCTGTATTATCTCTATTCTTTCTTGACTTACTGCACTTATATCATAATGTACTATTTTGTATGTTTTACTAGTATAGGTCATAAATTTTGAAGAAAATTCGGAATACAAACCAATATTTTAATATGTAGCTTTATAAAAATGTTTCGTTATAACAAATTTACCTATTTAATTAAAAAGCTTCGTCTTGACTTTATTTAGTAAATATATTTCCTCTCTTACATTTATACATTCCATCTCCTAAATATATTTCCGGACCATGTCACAAACGCTCACAAAAAATATCTTACGCAAAAGGCTAAACTGCCAAACAGCAATTCATATTTGGAACGAAATTAAAAACTTTTTAATTACTTATAATAAACTGGCCGGTGCGGTGGCTCACAAAAATTAAAGTCCCATTCGCAACTAAGGAAAACAAAACAAAAAAAAAAATATTAAAAAATGGCCGCTAATTAAGCAAAGAGGAGAGGAAATAAATACGACCCCTCTGCGAATTCAGTTATTATAACTTAACGAATTGAGCTTCCATTTGCTTGAACTGTTCTGTCGGTTTTTTTCACTAAACGATGTATGTTTTTTTTTGTTGGCTGTTTTGGACAAGGATTTATGAATGGTTTTATTTCGGATTTGACGATTTTTAACTTTGTGATATTATTCAAAATTAACGAATTTAGTATTACTTTGTAAAATACTTTGTTCTCTTTAACTATAGTTTTTGGAAAATGAGCCATGAGTACCTTTTAAATAATGAAACCTTTTTACGTGTCATCTCTGTTAGTCAAATCAAATCAACCTTTTTACGTGTCAACTCTGTTAGTCAAATCAAATCAAATCAACCTTTTTACGTGTCAACTCTGTTAGTCAAATCAAATCAAATTTATTAAAACATTACATTGATCAATCTATTTTAGTTACAATTGTCACTTAAGGAATATGTTAGTCAACGTTACATTTAAAGATACTTATTTAAATTAAATTAACAATACAG